GGCATCATGCAGTCTCGGGAGACTATGGACTCGCACTCTCGTTACCGAGGCTGGAGTGTCCTCTCCAGGGCGCAAAGCCTGGGTAGGTCGATATGGAGAAGCTGTTACCCAAGCAGCAGGTCCTCCCCCTCTCTCAACGATGCTGAAATTGTCCATTATATAGGCAAACGCCAATATGCTTGGTTCCAGCGCCGTCGCAGGAGCTGCCAAAATGAGGTTGAGGTCAACAGCAGTGCCTTAGGGACTCCAGCTCCGGATTTTTCCTCGAGGTTGACTCCTGAGTCCGTCCTAAAAGTAGGTATAGTCGCGAGGCAGCGGACGGATGAAGTCTGGGTTTTCCTTCCTTTGAAGGAAGGGAATTTAATTAAATTAAAGCTCTGTAACACTGACGTTTTCTATAAATTGTATGCTGCCTATTCTGCTATAATGACAATATAGCAGAATACTTTTAATTCAAACGGTCACTTTTGGGTTGATAGTACCAATATGTAGTGATGGACCACCAAAAGGTTGATATTTTGTATTAGTGAATTTGGCCAAATGGGAAACGTTTTAAACCGCAATATGAATATAGAACCTAACCTAACCTTCCCTAGCACTCCTTCGCCAGATACAGTACATACATGCTACAGTACGCCTAGGAATGTTTGAAGTCCGGATGTTAGCTTTAAGTATTTCCGGACCCAGAAAAGCTCAAAAAGTATTTGAGCTTTTTGGTGTAAACTTTTTGGTGTTCCGTCACTCTATACTGGCACTTTCCACAAACTGGTTACTATAAGTGCTATTACTGCAAGAGGATGGGATGATGGATGTGGGTTCCTTGGGGGTACATTTTTGGTTAGGCACAACAGTCGCATTTTTAACGTAGCGGTATATCTAGAGTGGCTTCCGTCCTTTCGCACGGCTGTTAGGTCATTGGAAAGCAAAGTTATATGAGGATGAATCAAACACAAAATGTAAAGTTATGAGATTTGGATCAGGAGTGCGAAGAACAGTACAGCAGTATTGGATAAAGGGAAAACATTCTTAAATCAGGAAAGGAGAAAGACCTGGGAGTGGTCACAACCCCAAGTCTAACGCCAGAAGCCCACATCAGCAGAATAACAGCAGCATATGGCATACTGGCCAACATCCGGGTATCCTTAAGAAACTTGGAAAAGAGGGCTTTCAGGACCCTATATACAGCGGTGAGAGACGCACTCTATAATAAGCATTCTCAGCACGGAACCCTTACCTGACAAATGACAAGGTGAAACTAGAAAAGGTCCAAAGATATGCAACGAAACTCGTTCTGGAGCTGAGGGGGATTGAGCTATGCGAAAAGACTGAGATAACTGGACCTTGCCACACTGGAGGAAAGGAGAGATACGGGGAAAACATGATAACATACAAGATTCTGAGAGAAATTGACAAAGTAGACAAAGCAGAATTGTTTGAAGCTAGAAACAGTAGAACGAGGGGTCATAGATGGAAACTGAAGACGCAAATGAATCATAGATACATCAGGAAGATTTTTTTCAGTTTTAGAGCCGTCAGGAAATTTCATAGTTCAGATGCACGAGTCGTTGTAGCTAATTCAATTCAAAATTGTATATGTAAATATGATCATAGCGTGAGAAATAAGTCACTGAATTAATATAAGGGGCTAGGAGCCTAGGTTCTGCAAGCTAGGCGAGTACAGATTACCTGTTCAAGTCGAGTACTCAATTGGGTATTGTCTAATCATATGGAAGACGATTCGACGAAGCTTGCTGTCTACTTGTTAAACCCGTACATGCCCAACCACTTGGGCTGGACGACAGAGCGACGGTCTCGCTTCATGCTCGCTTCTCGCTTCTTCCCATCCCAAATTCTTATCCTGATCCCTTCCAAGTGCTATACAGTCGTAATGGCTTGACGCTCACTCCTGGTAGTCCCCTTCCCCGTATATATATATTGCTAGGTTATAACACATTAGCTTAGGTTAGGCTGTGTTAGGATCAATTAGAGAAGAAGTGAGTATTGCGTTGCTGAGCCTCAGCAACCTTGCCCTGTCTCCCTGTAGTTCTCATTCAATTATACAATGTATGTATGTGATGTAACTATATAACCTGAGCTTATAAAAGCACCTTAATCACCTTCAGTGATTAAGTGCTTAATTGCATACTAGTTTCTCTATCAGCTATCTCACCCTGTCAGAGTAAGAGAGAAATGTATGTGAATGCATGTGTGTGTGTATATATGTGTGTATATATGTATGTATATATGTATATGAACGTGTGTATGTGTGTGTATGTATATCTATGTGTATAAAGTATATATGGAAGCTGATCAGAATTACATTTCACCTTTGTAAATGCACATTAATGACACTATGTAAAAGACACATCGAACACTTTATTAGGGCATACGTAAATCTGTGTATGTATTTACGTATGTAGGTTAGCTTAGCATTTTAAAAGCACCGAATCACCTTCTGTGGTTGAGTGTTCAATAAACCCCTGAACTATATGTTTAACACATCTAACCCTGTCCATGGAGGACAGAAGAAAATATGTATATTCTGGTTAGCATTGTAAATGTGTGGCCACGTCTGTGGTGGAAAATAATAAAAGTCCT